AATTTGTAATTGTACAGTGTAATAGATGTACAGAGAAATTCGTGTTTTACGATTGAAAATTAAAAATTAGAAACATTGAGCTAAAATAAGAATATTATTATATTATATTATAATTAAATAATTACTAAAACTTATATAATTATATAATGTAATAGGTATATAAATGTTATAATTATATAATTAAATAGTTTTTATATAATTATATAATTATGATAATAGTATATAATTATGACTATATAATAACTATATAACTAAATAATATATATATATATAAGTAGTAATTATATAATTAAGTAGTTATCTATATATACTAGAAATATCATGAAAGTAAAAATAAAAATCATAATTTAGTATAACATTACAAAGATCACCGTAATTTTAACATGTTAGTAATATTATAAAAATATCGTGGTTATAAAATATCATAGTTACAAAAATAACAATGTAAGTAGTGATGAAGATTGATTTAAATTTAGGAGAGATTCGAAACTCACCGTAGTGCCGCAGGGTTCAAGAGCAGCATTCGACGTGCTCTAGTTATTAAAGCTCTTCGAGTATCCCTCTGTGAGTTGCTATAAGGAGCACGTATGAGGCTGCTGCCTCTTGTTTCAGCCTGACCGCGTTAAAGTTCCGTCTTATTTCGTCGCGTCGAAGAAAACGGGACGAGCAGCCCCTCACATTTTTTCGACACGACCAGAGAAAAATAAAAAAATACACCACTAGAACTCTTGCATACTTGCACCATTTCTCGTGCAGTTTACTTTCTGTGTAAACGCAACAACAACCTGTTGTCGCGTTTGCACAGCGTGTCGCGAAATAAAATAAAATTTCTTGGAATTTCCGAATTATTAATATAAACAAAGAGGTGAAAATATATGTATTAACGCTAAAATGAACGTTCTGTGTAACTGTAACAATTCGTTACACCAAAATATTCTGTGTGGATGTGAACAATTCATTGCAGTTAATAAGTAGATTTATACAATCATGTTACTGTCTAATAAATAAATTTGTACAATTATTATAAATAATAATAATTATATAAATTATAATTATTATTACTAATTATTTTATTATATTAATCAATACAATTTTATTATATGGATTATATTAATTTTGACAAAAAATATCCACATTTTTTTTAAATACTTGTGAAACAGAAAGTTTGAAATCAGTCATGTTGGCGGATCGTTGCAGTAACAATGAAATTGTACAATTATTTGTAAAATGGTCATTTCAAATATCCCGCCAGAAAAGTGTTGAATGTAAAATTTGTGAAATTTCTTTCTTTTTTTTTTTTTATTATATTTATTAACAGGAACTTCTAACAATTTAATAAATTTGTGTTACTAGCCCAGTGATGATCGAAAAGTAAGTTCCAATGTAAATGGAGTTTGTTTGTACTAATTTATTCGCATGTCTGGCGATATATGTGTGTCTCAACGTGACACAGATAAGATTAAGCTCCGGCGCGCATTCAACAGTTGCATACTCGTGCGGTTTTGAGTCAATGGGAAGTTTGCTAGTTAAGTACATATCGCTAGGAGTGCGATACTCCTAGACACAGTGATGATCTTCAAGAATAATAAATGGCACTCCTTAAGCGCAGTCAAAACGGGCTAACGCAGACGAAGTGGTAACGAACTCTACTATGCTCTATAAATAAACGGGTGTGTCGCGTGTTTGTCCGCGACAAACTAATTTTATAGTTTGATTAACCATCTATACCTTTCTTTTTTTTATCTGCCGACGGATGAAACATGAAATTCGATAAGTTGATAACAAGAGAATAGTACTGATAATTTTCCAATGTTCCAACAATATCGGAAAATTTGTTTGTTACAAAATTTTTAATTTTATTTAATTTTATTTAAATCTAATTATTTTAATTTTAATTTTAATTTAATTTAATTTAATTTAATTTAATTTAATTTAATTTAATTTATTTTATTTTATTTAATTCTAAATATTTTTATTTTTATTTTTATTTAATTTTATTTTATTTTTAATTCTAATTATTTTAATTTTAATTTAATTTTATTTTATTTAATTTTATCTAATTCTTTTAATTATTTTAATTTTCATTTAATTTAATTTTATTTAATTCTAATTTTAATTTTAATTTTAATTTTAATTTTAATTTAATTTAATTTAATTTAATTTATTTTATTTTATTTTATTTAATTCTAAGTATTTTTATTTTTATTTTAATTTAATTTAATTTTATTTAATTCTAATTATTTTAATTTTAATTTAATTTAATTTAATTTAATTCTAATTATTTTAATTTTAATTTTAATTTTATTTTATTTAATTCCAATTATTTTAACTTTAATTTAATTTAATTTAATTTTAATTATTTTTAATTTTCGATTTTACTTAATTTTATCATACTCACCCCTAATACAGAGGATGTAAAATATAAAGTAAAATCGAATATCCTAAATTAACTACAGTCGGCTGTAGACGAAACTGCTTAATATATAAAGCGAGAGTAATTATAATTTAGTATTTATTCAACACTTGCAGCGCAATAAATAATTAATTACAGCATCTATACTGTAGATTCTACAGCATCTAAACGCTAAATATTCCACGAACTCTAGCACGAGAAAACAGTCCCGTGAGAAAGAAACAAAGACACGTATAATCGACGCGAGAATATTGTATGTGTCTTCTCGAATGAAAGTGTACTTATCAGTAATTCATCGCCATTGTACAAGCTAACGCGACTGATTACACGTTCATGGAAATAGAAATTGTCAACCAAGCACGACCACATCGTCCAACCTGAGATACCACTTGAAAAATAATAGCCCGTCATTTTTTCTACCATTTTACGTTTCTCCTTTTAACAAGACAAGCATCATGCCTCGAGAAATTATTATCTAGATCTGCGATCGATTATTGTTTCAACCGTCGGTTATAATTTATCGATTCAGGGACCGTTTCTCGTTACTCTTCCTTTCGTCACTTTACGCTTTCAAGCGTGTCCTCGGCAGGAAGATGTTTTTTAAAGCATCGTCGAGTAGTACTACCGAGGAATACTTGAAACAGAAGAAAACCAAAATAATCAGGATCATTTCGAGGTTAATTATTTAGTTAGCAAAAGTTCCTAAACGTCAATCGTGAATAGTGGTACCAAAATTAATTTTACTTTGGTACTGAAATAAGTGTATTTTATGCTACAGAAGGAACATTTTTTTAAGCCATAATCGAGTCGTTCTACCGAGGAATATTTGAAGTAGACAAAAATTCAAATAATCAGTTTTGAAGTCAATTATTTAGTTGTTAAAAATTTTTAAACGTCAATCGTGAATATTGGTATCAAAATTAATTTTACTTTGGTACTGAAATAAGTGTATTTTATGCTACAGAAGGAACATTTTTTTAAGCCATAATCGAGTCGTTCTACCGAGGAATATTTGAAGTAGACAAAAATTCAAATAATCAGTTTTGAAGTCAATTATTTAGTTGTTAAAAATTTTTAAACGTCAATCGTGAATATTGGTATCAAAATTAATTTTACTTTGGTACTGAAATAAGTGTATTTTATGCTACAGAAGGAACATTTTTTTAAGCCATAATCGAGTTGTTCTACCGAGGAATATTTGAAGTAGACAAAAATTCAAATAATCAGTTTTGAAGTCAATTATTTAGTTGTTAAAAATTTTTAAACGTCAATCGTGAATATTGGTATCAAAATTAATTTTACTTTGGTACTGAAATAAGTGTATTTTATGCTACAGAAGGAACATTTTTTTAAGCCATAATCGAGTTGTTCTACCGAGGAATATTTGAAGTAGACAAAAATTCAAATAATCAGTTTTGAAGTCAATTATTTAGTTGTTAAAAATTTTTAAACGTCAATCGTGAATATTGGTATCAAAATTAATTTTACTTTGGTACTGAAATAAGTGTATTTTATGCTACAGAAGGAACATTTTTTTAAGCCATAATCGAGTCGTTCTACCGAGGAATATTTGAAGTAGACAAAAATTCAAATAATCAGTTTTGAAGTCAATTATTTAGTTGTTAAAAATTTTTAAACGTCAATCGTGAATATTGGTATCAAAATTAATTTTACTTTGGTACTGAAATAAGTGTATTTTATGCTACAGAAGGAACATTTTTTTAAGCCATAATCGAGTCGTTCTACCGAGGAATATTTGAAGTAGACAAAAATTCAAATGATCAGTTTCAAGATTAATTATTTAGTTATTAAAAATTTCTAGACATTAATCGTGAATTTGAATGTTATTTAAAATGATTATTTTGCTCTGGTACTAAAGTAAATTTACTGTTGAATATATCTTGTCTTTCAATTTCAAATCAATTGTGTCAATGAATACTTTAGCAAATTAAATGTATTGGAGAATTAGAATTGGAGAATCAGAATTGGAAAATTTAATTTAATCTGTTACTATCTGCTTTCGCTAATACCGGCGAAATCCTCAAATATTCACGTACATAAGACATATACTCTCTGTAAGAAAGATAAAATTGTCAGTCGCTACTTTTTGAAATGCATTACTTTCTGATCTCAGATATAAGTGTCAGGGATGAACGCGCTACGTCGCGTTCAAAGTTAAACTCACAAGAGATGACAAGTTCTCTGTCACCCATTATTATACACAGCAGATACGATTAATTACTAATATTTTGCAACTAATGTAGCAGTTAATCGAATTTTAATACTTCTTGCAAAAAACAAAAAAAAAAAAAAAAAACGTGAAGAAAACTACTAGAAATTAGTAAGAAAACCCCTCGAGGTTATCAACATCAAGATAATTCTGTCGGGGGAGCAAGATGTACAAACCATGCGTGTACTTATACGTGAAAAATGTTTGTTTCTGTTGCGCGGCTCGTTCGGGATTAAAAATGTTATCCACTCGGCTCGAGCAACACGACTTGAAACTGAAAGGTTGAAAGAGTGACGAGAACACGTCGTCGTAAAGTGTTTTTATAGCGTTTGTACAGCTGAGGAGGAAGCAGCTTACCTCGAGGAATAATCATTTCTCTTCTGGAGGTTGCTGCTCCATTAGCGTGTTAATGCACGAATCAGTTTTTAATGAAGTTTAACTGCGTTAACAGTCGCTTGTAATTTGCAACTGTTAATCTCCTGTGCTGTTACTTGCCTTTCTGGTCGGTACTTGCGCGAAAATTCGCGGAATTAAACAATTATAGATAAATTTCAATTCCACGGTTGAGATATTATAATCCTGTCAGTACTCAAATTAATTGTAGATATATAGATATATAAATTATATAGATATGTAGATATATAAATTATATAGATATATAGATATATAAATTATATAGGTATATAGATATATAAATTATACAGATATTTAGGTATATAAATTATATAGATATTTAGGTATATAAATTATATAGATATATATAGATAAATTTAAATTCCACAGTTGAGATGCTATAATCCTGTCAGTACTCAAATTAATTGTAGATACATAGGTATATAAATTATATAGATATGTAGATATATAAATTATATAGATATATATAGATAAATTTAAATTCCACAGTTGAGATATATACTATAATCCTGTCAGTACTCAAATTAATTGTAGATACATAGATATATAAATTATATAAATTATATAAATTATATAGATATATAGATATATAAATTATATAGATATATAGATATATAAATTATATAGATATATAGATATATAAATTATATAGATATATAGATATATAAATTATATAGATATATAGATATATAAATTATATAGATATATAGATATATAAATTATATAGATATATAGATATATAAATTATATAGATAAATTTAAGTTCCATAGTTAAGATATTATAGTCCCATAGCAATACTCAAATAAAATGCAATCGTGTATAATAGGTTGATTTAAACTCCATAAAATCTTCACAATATTATAGTTTGATTTAAATTTTACAATTTAATAATGCCCAAGTAAAATGCAAGCTCTGTCGTGTATAATTTACAGCTTGATACAAATTAAATTAATGCACAATGGAATAGAATGTAAGCTCCGTGGAATTTATAGATTGATTTAAATTCCACAGTTTAATTTAAAAGGCTCTAATAACGAAATGTAGATTGCATTCTGTGCAATTCGTTGTTTGACTTAAAATTTCATCAATTTGATTAAACACTCGCTATAGTCCCTACTCTATATTGCTCCAATAAAAGATAAAACTTCATATAATATGTATAATTTATAGCTCGATCAATTTTAATTTCACACTTGCGCTTTGATGTGCATTTCACGGTTTAATTAAAAGAAGAAATTTGACACAAACTCTTTGACTTAATTACCAAAAAAAAGAAAGCAGATACTCTGTAGTGCTTAAACAACTGAATAAACAAACTACAGGCTGGCGAACGCTGGATGGATACCAATGAAGATGGCGAAGCAACGGAAGGAGGTTCATAAAAGTTATAGTTTACGGTGCGTACGTGCATTTATGCTCGAATTCCATGCAACAACGGCGACTGAGTCATCGAGGTTTAGGCGTGCGTAATTTACGGTGCACGCCGAAAGGATGAAGAGGAGAGGAAAGAATGCAAGAACAGCCGGATGCCGTAGAACCGACGTCACACGGACGTAAACCGACACGTGCACCCTCTTTTCTGACACGGTCCGATGATTTTTTAAGATGGGGGCGAGAACGTGCTCGACTTTCTCATCGGCTAACCGACGAATTCACCGCGATCCACCGTCGTGTCTCTTCTTTCTTTCCTCCTTCTTTCCCCGACTTTGACGCGTCTCTTTGTTAATTGTCTGCGCGTACCATCTTCTTTTCTTTAATTGCCTTTGGAAACTTTGTTTCCACGAAAGTTTCAACCAGACTCGACTGGAGAAAGATGTTCTGGACCGCGAAGCGAGAGGATTTTCAAGATCACGAGGAACGCGTTTAATTAAAGAGACAAATAAAATGTTACGTATATATATATATATATATATTTTATATATCTGTTATAAATATTATTATATACATATATTTTTGTTATATGTATATTTATATATATTTAATATATTATATATATTTTTTGTTATATAATACATATATAATGTTATATATATATATTTATACTTATATATATTATTATATATTATATTTTTTTTTCACTGTTATCCTCTTCACTGTGTATGTATATATATATACATATATATCAGTATTCAATATTTATAACAGTGAAAAATATATAAAATATATATATATATTTATATATTTCATATTATTCACTATATATATTATACTATATAATATGTTACGTATATATATATATATATATATAGTGAATAATTATATAAATATATAAAATAGTGAATAATATGAAATATATAAATACGAATAATTTATAAATAGTAAATAATATAAATATATAAATATGAATAATTTATAAATAGTGAAAAAAATATATATATATAAAATAGTGAATAATTTCATTAAATTGATCTAACTTTGTAAAAAGAGCTCACATAATTTGTAATCTACTCTCAACAAACTTTCTTTCCTACCCCTTTTCTTTCAAATTATTAACCAATCATCCAAAAAATGTATACAAAGAACTAATGAAAATTACAATTATTGCAAAAATTGGAACTAACTACCCAAAATATATAAAGATGTACGAAAATTAGAAAAATCGAAAAATTACCCAAAATGTGTAAAGATCTATGAAAATTGCAGATATTACAAAAATCCAGACCAATTACCCAAAATGTACAAATATCCACGAAAACTACGAAATAGGTATTACAAAACTCGAAATCAATTACCAATAATATAAATCTGTACGGAAATTACAAATATTGCAAGAATAGACGAGAATTTTAGGCAAAGAACTAAAAATCTATATCCACTAGAAATATACCAGATGGATCTATCCATTAATAATATCGTTACGACAGCAGAAAATCTATCTGTTCGCGGGTAATTGCGCTACATATTGAAATTCGCTCTTTGCAGAGACCATCCAGGAACCGCGGTTCACCACTCAACCTTCCAGCAGCGGCAATATTCTTAGCGAAAATCGGACGAAATTTCTGCAGTGTCAAGCGAGAGGTAAGTGGAAAACGCGCTGGCTTGGACTACTCGACGAGATCCGACCCGGAAGCGATGATTTCAAATGTATGGAGGACCTCTCCTCCGCGATTCTACCGCGATTATATTATATTCATTCGGAGATTAATCGATTAAGAACACTGCGGAGTTGGCTGAGTCTTATTATTAGAAAAGCAAAAGAGTCAGATCATTCTCAATTTTATTTTCAACCATTTCATGAAATTGGAAATCTTTTTTTATTCTCAGATTTTTAATTTTACCCTGCACGTTCGTCTGGAATTTTCTGGAATTTTCTTTTATCGTTGACTGACTGAAGATTCCCTTGCATTTTTAACTTTGAAACGAAACACATTTAAATGAAAGAATCTTGAGATGTGCATTACTTTAATCAACTTTGATTATCACGAGTCACAGTTCATTTTCAAGAATCTTTTAAGGATCTTTTAATTCCGTTTTTACTGAGAGCTACCCAACGAGACAGCCAAATTTTCCAAACGTATTTTTAATTTCCCATTGTTCTCATGAAATATCGGATAACAACCGGATGAGACGGTGGCCAGATGAAACCTCACAGTTGCAGCCTGGTGCCGTAACACGATAGCATGACCCTGTGCTAATAGCATTAAGTCGCTGTATATTACATCTACTCCTTTGCCAAATGAGAAATGCCCATAGTAGCCACGAATGGGAATTAACACCTTGAACTGCCGTCAATCGTGATATTCAAACTTTGGAACAAGTGCAATTAACATCTCGGCAGTTAAACAAACTGTTCGTCCTTCGACAAATTCAGTATTCTACAATATATTATAGCCTTATTATTAGATATAATAATAATATATATATATATATATATATATATATATATATATATATATATATTATTAGGATTTCTTATTAGGTATATACCTATTAGGTATATTATATTATTAGATATACTTCATTATTAGGTGTGTGTGTATATATATTACTAGATATACCTTTATTATTAGGTTAGTATATACTAATTTATTATTAGATATACCTATAAGATATATTATATTACAGATATACTTCATTATTAGATACATATGTATATATTACTAGATATATCTTTATTATTATGTATATATACCTATTATTAAGTATATATAATAATATAATAATAGGTATATAATAATTTATTATTAGATATACCTGTTAAGTATATTATATTACTAGATATACTTCATTATTAGGAATATATGTATATATTGCTAGATATATCTTTATTATTAAGTATATATACATACTACTTATTAGGTATATTATATTACAAATATATTTCATTATTAGATATATATGTATATATTACTAGATATATCTTTATTATTATGTATATATACCTATCATTAAGTATATATAATAATATAATAATAGGTATATACTAATTTATTATTAGATATACCTATTAGGTATATTATATTACTAGATATACTTCATTATTAGGTATATATGTATATTATTAGATCGTTATTATTAAGTATATATACATACCTATTATTAGGTATATACTAATTTATTATTAGATATACCTATTAGGTATATTATATTACTAGATATATTTCATTATTAGATATATACCTTTATTATTAAGTATATATCTATATATATATAGATATATATACATACACACACTTTTATTATTAGATTGCAGATTTTTATGCGTTTTTACGAATATTTTTACAAATACAAGCGCATATAATAGAGAAAACTTGAGTAGAAATCTGCTTCATCCAGTAATCGTTATAATTACTTTACTTTGGATATTTCGCACATTTCATTTCACATTTCGCTATGAATGCACGAGAATCTGCAGTCTTATTCGTTATACGTTCATCTCGCAATTGTCTTTTCCTCTTCGCAGGAAATCCCCAGCCAAAGTACAAGTGGTTCAAAGATGGGGTACCTCTCAGCAACGAGCTTACCTCGGAGCCTTACTTTCGAATACAAAGTACACGTAGGGAAGACGCAGGGGTCTATCACTGTGTCGCCACGAACGACGTAGGATCTATATTTAGTGAAAGAATTACATTTACGGTAGCATGTACGTATAAATTAAAACATGTACTTTCCAGTACTTTACACTCGTCGTTTAAGATCGTTTCACGTGTTTCGCAAACGGATACGTTTCATATGAAATCCAACGTGCGTACCAAGTCCAAAAATTTGGAGCACCCATCAATTAGGATGTTGCAAACTTTTGGACCACAGTGCACGTATGTATACTTTTGCATTCTTTGAACAATCATGAAAAGCAAACGAATTTATTACTCGACCCAATAGCAAATCCCACATAGAAGAAATCTGACGTTTCCAAGTTTCAACTAAAAGTTTCTTCCTTCAAATCCCATATAGAAGAAATCTGACGTATCCAAGTTTCAACTAAAAGTTTCTTCCTTCTAAAATCTAACTAACTCTCACTGAATACTTTTCATTCATTTCATTTTCAACGAACGTACAACGTAAAAAAGGAGGAGACAAGTCGAAACGAAGAAGCGCGCAGTTTCAAAGTATTTCGAAAACACGGCATACGGCTACGACTGTAAAGCTGTAAATTAAACGGGGGAGGCCGAGCTTTGTTGCACGCAGTGCAACACGAAATTCGATTCTCTCACGAGTCCAGGGCACGATGCTCTGATTATCACGAGCAAAGGGGGAGGGAAGGGAGGGGGCGCGTTTTGTCGCGGTGAATGCACCAAGCGCGACGAAAGTAACACCGTAATACCATCCTGTCCAGATATGGGAGTGTTCGAGGACCTCACAGAGAGGATAGTGAGCGTGAAATCGGGCAGCGCGGCTGTTCTAACGCTGCCGCCGATAGAGAGCCATCCAGCACCTGACGTCACCTGGTTCACGTCCGACGGCTCGTTGCTCTACGGCATAAAGTATGCGTCGGTTCATCACACGTTGCTTATCCTGAACGCGTCCGAGGGCGATCAAGGCCTGTACAGGTTCGTATTTGAAACAACCGATCCGCGAACACCTGGAATTCCAGAGCAGATTCCATTGCGAATCGTGAATTCAAACAAAAGTTTATGTAAATTGTGACTCCCATTGATATTCAGTTGGTATGATAATTGAAGAGTCCTTGCAGGAGACGCTGTAAGTGCAAGAACATCAAATTTTAATGAAGGATGGAAGAAAACTAGCATTTCAGATGATAATCCTAGATTACTTGCATATGTAAAAAAGCAAAAGTTTGTTTGATGTATTATTTCACATAGAATGTGTACATATCAAATTGTAGCGATGTCAAATCAATAGTTTTTTGAATATATTATTTAATGTATTGTTCAATTATTGTTTCACTTTCAGATAGAATTTGTATATATATATAATGGTATATAATTGGGCGTTCGTCACAGTATATTCGACAAAGGCTCTTCAATCTTGGAAAGAAGATACAACAATAAACCTGGTCTTATTTTGTAGCTTGAAATCTGGAGAATATATAGTATATTAAGTTGAATAAAAATATATATACATATATTAAATTCTAGTAGACTGAGAATTTGATGTTAATACCACAGTATTTTCTACAAAGACTCTTCAATCTTAGAAAGAAGAATCATGTAACGAAAAACCTGGTCTTATTTTGGAGCTTGAAATCTAGAGAATATATAATACATTAAATTGAATAAAAATATATAAGTATATTAAATTCTAATAATGACTGAGAATTTGATGTTGATACCACAGTATTTTCTACAAAGACTCTTCAATCTTAGAAAGAAGAATCATGTAACGAAAAACCTGGTCTTATTTTGGAGCTTGAAATCTAGAGAATATATAATACATTAAATTGAATAAAAATATATAAGTATATTAAATTGTAATAATGACTGAGAATTTGATGTTGATACCACAGTATTTTCTACAAAGACTCCTCAATCTTAGAAAGAAGAATCATGTAACGATAATCCTGGTCTTTTTTTGGAGCTTGAAACCTAGAGAATATATAATACATTAAATTGAATAAAAATATATAAGTATATTAAATTTTAATAATGACAGAATTTAATGTAATACCTTTCTAGAAAGTATTTTCTACAAAGACTCTTCAGTCTTGAAAAAAGAATCGCATATAAACTTGGACTCATTTTAAAGCTTGAAGCCTCTACTTTCAGAATGTCACCGTTCTATTTCGTTGTAAGATGTTTTTCACATATCATATAGCGGATAGAATTTTTACTTGAAATTGAAGAACAATTTCCTCAAGCTGCATTTTCAGAGTGACTAATTGTTTCTTTTGCACTGAACAGGGCGAGAGCCATTAACACCCAGTTGGGTAAAGAGGAGAACAGCCCCTTTTTCAAGCTGCAAGTCACAGGAGACGCGAACGCTGAGGTGGCACCTAGTATCATAGTGAAACCGCAGGACACTCAAATCATCAAGGACCAGGACGTTACCTACATACATTGCATAGCTAATGCTAGGTAACTATTGACTAAAAAGAAGAAGAAATCCTCGCAAGGAAGAATAAAAATCCTATACTGAATCCTATACTGAATAAATAAATAGAACAATAATTTTAAGTTACCATTTTTATCGTTCGCTTAACGATAAAAATGAAACACGCTTGAAACTTGAAAAGGAAAATATCAAAAATATACCTGTAAGTTCATGTAACTTCTCCCTCCCCGAACAGAATAAAATGCACACTTTGAAAGTTTGATAAAACAGCTCATAATCACCCTACATGTAGAAACCGTTCTGTGAGAGAAATCTGTTTGAAATGGGTAATTTCAGGTCTCTTCACGAGTTGCGAACTTTATGGACGAAAGACGGGATCCCCATCGAGAACTCGAGGATATCGTATAGTTTTAACGACTCGTGGAACAGAACTCTGGCGTTGATATCGGCAAACATAACTTACACCGGCGTGTACTCCTGCCACGTGGATCTAAGAAGCGGCGGATATCCAACAGTGAACGCGAGCGCAAAAGTTGTCGTGTACGGTAAGAAGAACAACTCGTAACGAGAAGACGTCTCCAATATTTAGATTGCATTTGTCGCAGAAAAAAAAAAACGTTTCACAGTCAAAACTGTAAAAATTAATTAAGTAATAAACATTTATTGAATTTATTGTAATATAAGTGATACAACATTTTATAATATAAAAATTTATTACCACCAATAACATCAATTGATCCTGAGTTTGGAGCTTTGAAGCTTTAAAAGGCGACATGATTTTTGTTTGTCACCATCGAAAGCCTGAAATTTTAACGTCCATCGATCAATAATTCTTGCGCGACAATTTTTTCTTTTTTTCCTTTTTTAGAAAAGCCTACTTTTATAACGGAATTAAAGCGAGAGACTCTTAGCGATTATGGATCAACTGTAACGTTGCCGTGTGATGCTGTCGGTGTGCCACCTCCTAAAATCACTTGGTTTCGAGACGCAGAGCCTGTCGACCACCTCCTTGGATCCAGGTATACGATCTTTACAGAAATTTGAATTTTTAATCAGTAGAGAAGATGTATGTCAGATGAATTATAACGATTCTACAATTTAAATAGGTCCAAGTTCTCTTCAGCCTCTTTCTTTGTTCCTTTCACTGCATTTTTCATATTTTCTAGATACGCGCTGGAAGAAGATGGCTCGTTGACAATTAAAAAATTGACCATGGCCGACTCGGGAATGTTTCAATGTCTCGCGTCGAACGAAGCCGGCGAAGCATCCAGCTGCACCTGGTTAAAGGCAAAAAGTTAGTAGACAACTGTGGTGGTGAAGTTCACATCACGATCATTAAATGTGACATAACTACTTTTTTTTTTTTTTTTGTCTATTTTGTTAGTCGAACGATGTTTTACATACTTATTATAAATGACGTGTTTTTTATGGGGCAGAAGGATTAGAAAGCAGACTGAAAAACAGAGTTGCCCGCTGGGCAGCTGGCTACAATGTAGTCAGAGTTCGCCAATCTGATCGCCGTTTTAAGTTCTCTCAATATCCAGACAGTAAGATTCTAATGACAAGTCGCCACGAAATTATCCACCTCCTTTTTTGAAATTACCCCGGGCACATGCTTGAAGAATGCATATCACACCACCAATGTTTGCTTTTACCAGCTGTATCCGTGTCTTTTTCTTTTTCTATCTTTTTTTTTTTTTTTTTTTTTTTTTTATTTTTTTTTTTTTTTTTTTTTTTTTTTTTTTTTTTTTTTTTTTTTTTTATTAGTTTTTTTATTAGTTGTAGTTATAGTGAATACATCTGCAAAGCACGATGATTTTCTTGTGTGTAAAACACGTTGTTCCTTGAAATATCACAGGGAGTACTCAACATATATGGAACGAATACATTTGTAATGTTATTACACAACGTGATACAATAGTATTAATTAATAAATATTTTTCTCTGCGGGGGAGTATCTTTCACATTACAGTTGTTAGTATTGAGCAAAATTAATTTATCGGTATCAGAAAATTTAGATAAATCATTGTTTAAACATCTGCACGCCTCAGTATACAACGTGAATAGCACGTCTCTAGATTAGGAAGATATCTGTAAGGCAAAAATTTTGACAGTTAGTTAGTAACTTGTAGTTGCTATATAGAACATAGAATACATATGATTTTTGACTTTTGGTGAAAATAAAGTTTCAGTAACAGAGCATTGTTGTCAATTGAAGTCAGGTATTGGTAAATTCAGCGTTTTCCATTGCACAATTAAATCTCTCTAATCTTTCTAAGTTATTTTTGACCATTCACAAGACACGAGTAGATGAAACAGATGCTACATATTGGAAAACACTGAAATGGGGGAAGTTTATTTTTTTGTGACCGATTTCTTTTTGTTCCCGCCTTTTTCTTTTTTTTTTTTGCGTGCATGTAACCGACTCTTACCGCTCGCAAGCGAGATGTTAACGCGTTGAAATGATTGTTTCCAGCATCTGGGCCAATAATGGAGAACGGTCCGCAAAATCAAACTATACTAGATGGAAAAGATGCAACTTTAACGTGTAACGCCGTGGCAGCCCCGATACCCAACACCACGTGGATTTACAATGGTAAATCGTTAGACACTTATAATGCGTTTTGTACGTGGAAATTTGATAAATGACTCTAATTCATTCAATAGATACGATTCCTGTGGAGATCGCCGGCAGAGTACAGGTTTTAGACAACGGTGATCTTTTAATTGCTGCGGTGAAACCGAACGACGCCGGGAAATACACGTGTATTCGAGCGAATGAAGCCGGTTCTGTAAATGGTTCAGCCTATCTCACCGTTTTAGGTAAAATACCTGAAACAATTGTAAAAATGTTCAGAAAGTTCTAAGAAATTTAAACAAAAAAATAATGTACACAATGTGCTCTCTGCTATCAAAAATGTAACCCCGTTTCAGTTCGGACGCAAATTGTCCAACCACCTGTTGATACCTCCGTCCTGCTCGGCTATACCGCGGAATTACAATGCAAAGTTTCCAACGATCCAAGTGTTTTGTACGATATAGCATGGTTTCACAATTCACAGTACGTATATATACAACGCACTTTCACGTCGACACGTTATTGGAATTTTTATAAAAATTTCAAGATCAATGGAACCAGGGTGTACTTATTAATCGATTGAAACTTATAATTACCTGATTATTTATAATTACCTGATGGTATCTAAGTTTTAATAAGTAACAACGTGAACGGTCGCAATGTACTTGTCGCTTTTGCAGAGTAATAAATACACAAGCCAGCCAAAGGGTGAAGATGCGAAACGATGGTACGTTGGAAATAGCTGCCGTTCGTGCTTCTGACGTGGGTGAATACATGTGCTCTGTGGTCTCTCCCGGTGGGAACGAGACTAGATCCGCTCGTCTCAGTGTAATCGAATTGCCGTTCGCGCCGATAAATGTGATGGCCAGCCGAGTCGAACGGATTTCACCTCGTACCATAAACGTCAGTTGGGTCCCAGGTTTCGACGGGAACAGTCCAACGAAAAAGTTTATCGTCCAAAGGCGAGAGGTTTCCGATCTTGGTAATTGAAGTTACATTTTAATAAAAGCCCGTTACAGTCCAATCTATATTTTTATAATATATGAATCTACATTGTACATTTATAATCTATGTTTTTATAACATAATCCATTCAATCTATACTTTTATAATTTATAATTTATAATTTATATTATATGGTAATTGAAATTAAATTTTAATAGAAGCCCGTCTCAGTCCAACGTCCAGTCTATATTTTTATAACATATGAATCTACATTGTACATTTATATCTATGTTTTTATAACATCATCCATTCAATCTATACTTTTATAATTTATAATTTATAATTTATATTATATGGTAATTGAAATTAAATTTTAATAGAAGCCCGTCTCAGTCCAACGTCCAGTCTATATTTTTATAACATATGAATCTACATTGTACATTTATAATCTATGTTTTTATAACACAATCTATATTTACTCATTTCACTTAATCTATATTTTTATAATTCATATTATACGCAGGACCAATACCTGATTCTGCGCTGAATTGGATCACCGAGTGTAACAACGTCTCGGCGCAAAATCGTTGGGTGGTACTGAACAATCTGAAAGCCGCTGCTGCGTATCAATTTCGAGTGACCGCGGAAAATAGCGTTGGCGAGGGACCTCCGTCGGATCCTAGCAACGTGGTAGTCCTTCCGCAAGAGCGTGAGTAGTAATTACGTACAAATAAAGCGTACAAATTTTAATAAACTTCGACTGAACATCCTTGGTGTATGTCTGTTATCACTGTAGCACCGAGTGGACCGCCGGTAGGATTTGTTGGTTCGGCACGGTCATCCTCGGAAATAATCACGCAATGGCAGCTGCCGTTAGAAGAATACCGAAACGGCCATATTTTAGGATACATGTTGAGATATAGATTATACGGTTACAACGACAATCCGTGGACGATACAGAATATCACCAACGAGGCGCAAAAGAACTACCTTATTACCGACCTGATCACCTGGAAGGATTATATCGTGCAGATAGCGGCGTACAACGACAAAGGTGTCGGAGTGTTTACAGAAGGTTTGAAGATCAAAACCAAGGAAGGAGTGCCCGAGGCTCCGCCCACAAATGTAAGGGCGAAGGCCGTTAACTCAACGGCGATAAAAGTATGGTGGAAACCACCGAATCCGCAAAAGATCAACGGAATAAATCAGGGCTATAAATTGCAAGCCTGGATCGGTCGTAATTTCACCGAATCGAACGAGTATAAATCGATGACTGTGCCGCCTAGCTTGTTCGATCCCCTCGCGGAGCAAAGTGCCATCATGACCGGTTTAAAGAAATACACCTTGTACAATATAACCGTGTTGTGCTTCACTGACCCGGGCGACGGCGAGAAAAGTTCTCCCGTTCAGATTCGTACGCGCGAGGACGTGCCCGAGGAAGTGGAGAATCTACAGTTCGAGAACATAAGCGACCGTTCCCTCACGGTCAAGTGGAACTCTCCGCTCGAGGTCAACGGGATTCTCACTCTCTATCAGTTGAAATACATGATGAAAGACGTGCCAGATTCACTGCGAGTGGAGAACTTCACGTCGGACGTTCTCTCGGCCAAAATCGAGCATTTGCAAGCAATGACTCATTATAGATTCGAGGTCGTCGCTTGGACGTCAGTAGGCCCTGGGAAACCTGCGGTGGCTGTCATTCAGTCAGGCGTCGAACCTGTTCTGCCTGAACCGCCGACTAAACTGGCGCTGTCTAACATAGACGCGTTCTCCGTTGTCCTTCAATTCACGCCAGGATTCGACGGCAACTCGTCGATAATAAAGTGGACAGTACAAGCGCAAACCACTCGGAACACGACGTGGTACAATATATATGAAGTTTCAGATCCTGATGCCAGTACAATCACTGTAGGTGGACTAATCCCATTCATGCAGTATAAATTAAGATTAATTGCCAACAACGTTGTCGGCGCTTCTCAACCCTCCGAGCCAACGAAAGAATTCCAAACGATCCAAGCACCACCGTCACATCCTCCTAGAAACGTCACGGTTCGTGCAATGAGCGCCACGGAATTACGCGTCCGATGGATCGTGAGTGTGTTACTTTTAACGAACGAAAAAGAATTTACACAATTATTTATTTATTTATTTACTTGTCGTTTCGACAGCCGTTACAACAGATCGAGTGGTACGGAAATCCAAGGGGTTACAATGTTACTTACACCGAAGTTCGAACGAACAGATCGAAAAGCATAACTATAGAAGATCACACAGCGAACTCGTACATTTTAAAGGACATGGAGGAGTATGCTCTTTATGAAATTGCAATGCAAGCGCTTAACGACGTCGGGTCGTCGATGACGAGTCCGAAAGCTGTTGAAAGAACCCGCGAGTCAGGTAAAAAAAAATAATATAAAACACCCTGTCTGTCAAACTTGATAGGTAGTAATTTTCTCACTGACATATCTTTCTTTTCCAGTTCCCTCGATGGGGCCTATCAACGTAGAAGCTAACGCAACGTCCTCCACGACCATATTGGTCAGATGGGGCGATGTTCCTATAGAACATCAGAATGGACAAATAGAAGGGTTTAAAGTTTATTACGGTGCAAACGCTAGGTCAGCATTCCAGTATAAAAACATTCCTAGTAACACGACGTTCACGACGACTTTAACGGAACTTCGAAAATTCGTGCAATATCACATACAAGTACTAGCTTATACACGGCTTGGCGATGGCACTTTAAGCACTCCGCCAGTTAGAGTACAAACATTTGAAGATGGTAAAAATCTCACTGCTACAATTGCAAGCATCTCTCTGCACAGAGTTCAATAAAATTAAAATTCTCGTAGCTCCTGGACCTCCGTCGAACGTATCATTTCCCGATGTAAGCTTCACCACCGCCCGTATTATTTGGGACACTCCAGAAGATCCGAACGGAGAGATTCTCGCCTATAAAGTTATGTTTCATCTGAATAACAGCCAGGATCATCAATTTTCGAAGGAGTTCCCTGCATCGGATAGAACGTTTAGGTACAATTAACAGCGTGATTAACGTAAATCTAAAAAGAAAAAAAAAAGAAACAAGTATGAGATTCATGTTTTTATGTATCTCTCAGGGCAACTGGACTAGAGCCAGAAAAATACTACATGTTCTCGGTAACAGCACAAACGAGATTAGGCTGGGGGAAAACAGCGTACGCTCTTGTTTTCACTACAAATAACAGAGAACGTCCGCAAGCGCCGTCGATGCCGCAAATTAGCAGGTCACAAATTCAAAGTAGACAGATTACGTTTAATTGGACACCTGGTCGTGATGGATTTGCTCCATTAAGGTGAATTTTTCGTATTTCATTCAACGTGTAATTTTTTTATGTACACGTGAAATTAACATGTACAACGTCTTTCCTTTTCTTTGTAGATATTACACAGTACAACAATCAGAAAATTCAGGACCATTCCAAACTATTCCTGAAAGAGTAGAACCAACTTTAACATCTTACACAGCAAACAATTTGAAACCATTTACATTCTATCAATTCCGAATACAAGCAACTAACGATATAGGTCCTTCGACCTGGAGTACGGAATCTGTTCAAGTTCAAACTTTACCAGCAGGTAGAATCTACTTGTCGTTTGTATTAAATTTGCTTCGTTAACATGCAAAATTTTTATCGTAATATATATAAATTTGTAGCACCTTCTCGTGGAGTTACCGGATTGAAAGTAGTTCCAATAACAACATCTAGCATAGAGGTTCATTGGAACGTAATAGATGAGGTATATTGGAGCGGGGATCACGAAACAGGTGGTTATCGCGTCGTTTATCAACCAGTTTCCGACTTTCCCATAGCTCTTCAAGATACTCCGAAGGAAGAAATTTTAGGAATAAAGGTAATAAATATAATTATATGTCATGATTGATTCTAATTGATAAATTGATGTATTAATCCCTTTCTAAATTCTGTAGGCTGCGAAGATTGTTTTAAGCGATTTAACAGAAGACAGGTATTACGAGGTAATAGTGTTACCCTTTAATTCTGAAGGAGAAGGTCCATCGAGTCCTCCAGTAACCGTATATGTAGGAGAAGCAGTTCCTACGGGAGAACCGCAACATCTAAAAGCGGAACCAATTTCTTCTACAGAAGTACATTTACGTTGGAAACCACCTCAAGCCAATATGCAAAATGGAGATTTATTAGGATATAAAGTAAAATTATCATTTTTCTAGTTATATATAATTAGAAAAGCATTCAAATATTTTAATCAAAAGTTATATCACTTATATTTTTCATTTTAGATTTTCTATTTAGTTACTGACTCTCCTCAAGATTTAGAGAACAAACAGGAAGAAGAAATAGAAGTTGTACCTGCATCGTACTTGACACACAGCTTGGTGTTTTTAGACAAATATACAGAATATCGCATTCAAGTATTGGCTTTCAATCCTGCCGGTGATGGTCCTAGAACTCCATCTATCACTGTCAGAACTAAACAGGTACATAAGTTTAACAATAATTATGACTGAAGTCGCTGTTATTTCTCTTCTCGTTCTCCTCCCCTCCCTCCCTCTAGTAAAAATATATTCAATTATTTTATAGGATATACCTGGACCACCGTACAATTTACAATTCTCAGAAATTACAATGACTAGTCTTCGCGTCTCTTGGGAAGCGCCAAAACTACGAAATGGCGAAATAGTTGGCTACATTGTTACATACGAAACTGCAGAACAAAATGATCGTATGTTTTTTGATATACTCAATATATAATATAAACAAACAATTGTCGATGCGTAACACTCTATATCGTTGTAGGTTTTAGTAAGCAAGTTAAACAAAAAGTAACAGAAACAAGTCTACTAATACAACCTTTAGAAGAAGAAGAGACGTATACTTTTATGGTTCGAGCGCAAACCATTGATTTTGGTCCACCCATATCCGGAAATGTCACGACAGGTCCACAAGAAGGCTCACCAATGGCACCTAGCAACCTTGCTGTCACAAAAACAGTGTCTAGTGTTGAATTGCAATGGACTAATGGTGCTTCTGGGAAAGGACCCATTCTAGGATACTATATTGAAACACGCCGAAAAGGTAAATAATATGAATTATTTAAAAAAAAGCTCTCAAAGCTGAAACAGATTAAAGAATTAATAAAAAATAATATTAAGAAGAATATATAAAAAAGATAAAATAAAAATGTGCAATAGACCTTCTTTGATCATTTTACTCTCATCTATATTTCTAAAATGAAAATACTCTACTTATAAAATTCTAAATGATATTATTTGCGTTACTAATATCGCCTTTTTTATAATCATATAGCAATGGAAGAGTGGCAGCATTGTAAGTGTCAATGCACGTAAATATATTGAGCGTCGATTATTATGTTAGATGGTCTCAACAGTTAAATATAATTTTTCTTAGTGTTAAAAAAAAAATAGCTTCCTGTTTGTTATTAATCTGTGACTCGTCTAGTGATACTTGTACCGTTGACTGCATGATAATGTCATAGCATGACATTTTCCATGAATTCAATTAGAAATTCATCAAACATCTCAACTTTGAATGCTGCTATAACTTACTGTAATAAACGAATAGCTGAAGTTTGACTTATTAGATGATGGTGTATTTCTACAGTTCTTAACTTTCCAGTTCCTACATCTAATATTTCACTAGTGCCCCTAAAACATGTAACATAGAACACACAATATATAACTTCGCAAGTTTTCAGTCATTGTTACTTTCTTAAAAATTAAGAAAAGGTCCAAATATATCATTTATTCTTGTAGCATACAATTTTAAGAAAACCTGCAGAAGTTTTTAACTGCATTTGCAATTTTATTGTCAAAGCTAAATAAATATTACTGTTTTTAAAATTATAGATGACAGTCGTTGGCAGACGATAGTACGTAGTAGTAATGGACCATTGACAGAGTATTCTGTATCGTACCAAAATTTACTTCCATCCACGTCATATTTATTTAGGGTAATATCGTACAATCGTTATGGAATTAGTTATCCAGCATATTCCACAGAAACAGTAAGTAAGGTTGCCGTATTTACATTTTTGTAAATACTTTTAAGCATTTAAATATTAATGACCTTATTTTTTTCTTCTTTTTTTAGATTCTAACTCCATCAAAACTATATCTTGAATATGCATATTTACAACATAAGCCATTTTACAGACAAACTTGGTTTATGGTCACTTTAGCTGCTGCATCAATTATAATTATTATAATGGTCATAGCAGTGTTATGCGTAAAAAGTAAAAGCTACAAATATAAACGTAAGTCGTAATAAATATATTCTGATACAAAATATATGAGTGTGTAATAATCAAGTAATTATTTTAGAAGAAGCACAAAAGACACTTGAAGAATCTATGGCTATGGATACGGATGACAGGCAAGAGTCTGACTTGGAGCTTTATAGATCAAGACAAGGTGGTGGTGGTGCTATGAATATAGCTAATGCTTGTGGTACACTAGGCAAACGAAACACTTTAGCGAGAAAATCTATGCATCCTCCTCCTCCTACGATGTTAGGAAAATCACCTCCTAGACCTTCGCCGGCCTCGGTTGCTTATCATAGTGATGAAGAAAGTCTGAAAGGGTATGATGAAAATCCTGACGACAGTAGCGTTACGGAGAAACCTTCCGAAATTAGTTCAACGGATTCACAGGTAACTTTGTCTTCTTTCTTAAAATGTTCTATTTATATTCCTAAAAGTATTTTAATATCCACATTTTGCATTATAGGGATCTGAAAGCGAGAATGAAAGTGTACAATCGGATCCACATTCCTTCGTTAATCATTACGCTAATGTTAATGATTCCCTAAGACAGTCCTGGAAACGTCAGAAACCAGTTAGAAATTATTCATCGTATACTGATTCTGAACCTGAAGGTAGTGCTGTTGTCAGTTTAAATGGGGGACAAATTATTATGAACAATATGGCAAGGTCGAGAGCACCATTGCCTGGTTTCTCGTCGTTCGTATAATTTGTTCATAATAAAAAGTTGAAGCTTTCGTTAAGTAGATAGGGTGCCGAATTATAGCAAAATGACACTTATAATCGTTATGCAATCAAAGTAAAATAAATTAATGCTGAGCGATAATTGATTTTAAAACATAAATGAATAATACGTTGAAAAAAGAAAGTTTTAAATTGTTAAATATGTGCAAGAAGAGACTGGTTGTTAAAAATTTTGATCGAAGTAGAATAGAGAATTTTAATAGCTCAGCATTGAAATTGAAATATACAGAGTTAAAGACTTATGTTGAAACACAAATTAACGAGTGTTTCACGCATGCACTTCGTATAGTAACTTTAACATGCTTTTGGCACCATCATATTGTGATATATTGAAATACATATTATTTATAATTTTAGGTAAAGTCGAAATGTGTATAATGAGTATTTTTTACTTTTATTAAGTGAAGTTGAAACAAAATATTGTATGGATCTCGAATAATGTAATGATTGCGCATTTTTTTAATTATAAGAAAGTTTCTCAGAACATTCTGTTAATATGACGTACTAATGAAATAGAATAACATCATCAATAATAATGAAAACAATATCGTAACGAAAACTGCCAGAGACTACATAATAACTACATAATAAACTCAAGAAACGAAATAATATTTTAATACTACATTTAATATGATAAAGATGATTAAATTATAATCCATTAAAACATGATATAATTAACTATCATCGAATATACTAATCACAATGTCACTCATGAATTTTTCAATTCACTTAATTCACACCTTGTGCTACAAAATAAAAATTGTATGATATAGGACATTGATCTAAATGTATAAACAGTTCATCAAGTTTACAATCAGACCTATCATATCAATTTGAAATGATCTTCATAGACTAAAGACGAGTCTGATAATGTTATTGTACTGATTATACAAATGTTTATGTAAAATGCGACTGCGAGCATTTTTATCTCTAAGGAACTTTGTTTTTAATATTATTATGTATAATGTACATAAAATTTATATAAATTACGAGAAACAGCAAATACTGATACAACACTTGTACATTTAGTGCTTAGACAACATTAGATAAAATTTCATGCTAAATAGTCTTTGAACAACATATATTTATCTTCTTTGAATAGATATATATATCTATCATTTGTCTACATCCTTCATTTCAAATCATAATATGAAGAAAAATGCGGCTTTAATGCATATAAAGAACATATGCAATCTATTTAATTCATCAGAATATCACGAATTCATTTGTAGTATATAATACACTTACAGTATTGTAAAACATTATCATACTTATTCAATTCAGTAACCTTCTTACCATAATGCATTTATTCTATGTAAGTGAAAAACGTTTCAGACTGATATTGATGCATGAAATGTTTTTCCTTGCTTAATACTTATTTTATAACGAAAAAGATCATAAAACGATATAAACAAAACATTAAGAAATTGAAAAAAAATTTTAGATTTAGCGTATATTCTTCGACAATATACGCTAAAATCTAGAAGCTTATTGGAAATGTAGAAAAACGTGTAACATGAATGAAAATGATTGAACAGTTTAATTCTGGCAGCTATAATTCCATTACATTTAAAAGAATAGCTATTAATTGTATTTGGTTCACAACCAAAGTTATAACTTTTAATTTAGTTAATTTCAATTCAGCCATAATATCAATATCAATTTAAAAATCATAATCAATATCTGTCATAAACTAGGTAGCAAGTTATTTGATAAATATTTACTTTTAAAAACACAACATTTTTACTACTATGTTAGAAAACTTGCTTTCTAGTTTCTATTGCATAATATTGTTCATAAATACTGTATCATAAACAGTTATTCTTCTCAGACATGAAGATATAATTGTTTCTACAACACTGCCAATAAAAATGAATTCAAGAATAAACTTAAATCTATGTATTAATAACAAATTGAAACAAATCGCGTTTGAAATTATACATTACTTGTACAAGATATTTTAAGTACATGTTAATCTTTTAATAAAATTTATATAATTTTATGCACGCTATTTTTTTTGTAATTTTGATCAATATTTTTGCAAAGTCTTGAGATACTTTTGAAACAATTCAATCTATGTGTTCATGCAAATAAATAACAAATATGTTTTAATAAGAGATTTATTTATACAAAATGTTTTTCACAAGCTTCATACCATTTTTTAAGTTTTGATGGATATTTCTGTGAAAAAAATTGTTTAACTGTACACCATGCAGCAACATCTGCTATATCAAGAATCTTTTCAGCTGACCAATTTAATTTATCTGCTATTAACGATAATATCTCTTGTTTTTTATTTGCTGATTCTTCAAAATGTAAAGAATAACACAGATCTAATATCAAATCAGTTGTATTTACCTTCTCTGTACAAGCAAAACTTTCATAATTATGCGAATTTATTAATCTACTTAAATATCTTAGAAAATTCGTTTCACCAATTATATAGTAACTATGTAAACCAGATAATATAAGTTCCAGGTCCTCAACTAAAAATAAAATTCTCTATAAATATACATTTCTCACTACTTAAGTATATTCAAAAATATAATTTATTTTTACCATCTTTCCAGATCAATGATAGGTTAATAACATTATTCTTGGAAGAACTTGTAACTGATTCATAAATAATAGACCCTCCTTCATTCACACTTGAATGAACATAAGTTTGCACTTTAATATCAGTATCCTTCCACAACTTTTGTAACGCTGATATAAAATAAGGTGGCCTCTTAGGATTCACATTCACAATAAGATTCACATTAATTGGCACCTATAAAGGTCAATGTTAATAAAATTTTTATGTGAACTTTTTGTTTGAGAAGTTAAAAGTTTTATTTTACATTAATATTACCTGACTCTTATTAATTGAAGAACTTTCACTAACTACTACAGCTTGATTCGTTTGTCTCAGAAACCCAGAAAGCGTTGCTACTTGTTTCTTTAGTTCTGCAAGCTGTGCCAGTATCTTTTCTTGCCTTGCTTCCAATGCATTATATTCTGGCAGCGGACTCTGAAATAAAATCTTACTTTAAAGTAATTTGATGTTATGTACGTAAGGAATTAATGATTACCATCCCAGCACTAGACCCCTACGTGGGTAATCCCGGGTTAAAGAGATTGAATTAACTGAATTATGTAAGTCTTCAAATAAAAGTAGAGTCATTCGATGCCACCGTATGAAATTTAAACGTCATGAGCAATATAAATAAATTTTTTCTATTACCTAAATTATTACTGTCAAAGTTGCCTTTATACAGAACATTATCATTATAATTATTAATCGGTCACAATCTACACCTCACAATTTAATATCATGGTTATGACAATATCAGTTTATCACAAAATATATTCTAAATTCTATTTCAAGTTAAAAAAAAATATCAGCAACACTCAAGACAGACATATATTTACTACTGCCACTTTAGGGAAAAAACGTTTAAAAGCACAGGGTTATGGACAATAGTTTTGATAGTTGATCACCAACACTGTTTGATTAATGCCAGTATATACAAAGTACATACATCTTTTTACTGGGTTAGGTTTTACATGTGTTTGGTTATACAACTGTACTTTGTAGCTTTCAGTGCAGTTCTAATTTAGTAAGCTTGCCCTTCTATACTAATTATCAGCGTATTCCCGTTTATCCTTCGAACGTATTGAATTTTTCATCTACCGTAGACGCGTTAGGTCCTGTTAGATGAAAAATTGGAGGGGCAAGCATCGATCAAGCCTGTAGAACCATATTCCCGGTCGATCGTGATTAGTGCTTGTGGAAATTTTGGGAGGAGTCATGCACAACAAGCTCGAGACAGAAGAAACACTCGTAGCTACCATGCTTAATAAACGCGTGAGTAAACCATTCATTCCAGTGAAATAGTTAAACGTTCTCTTTCACGTCGGCTGGATAACAGAAATGATGAGAAACCTTTAAAAAGCTGATAACCTGGTCAGTGATATCAGGCACGATCTTGTTCTCGGCTGCCGTATGGTCGTCTGTTGATCGTTCTTCATGAATATTTCGCATTTCGTACATCGTTTTTCTATGATGGAACGTTCGCGGCAAGGAGACAATCGGCTTTAACGTGTACATCGTCATCTCGTTTCGCATTTTCGCTCGCCGTACCGTGGTTAATCCGTTGAAAAAACCACCGGATCGTATTCACATTTGATCGTTACACACTCGTTCGTTTTTCGTATTTCTCGATTTTCGCTCGACGGCCATTTTTCTTTAATGGTTCTCTCCCCCCCCTCACCCTCCTCTGTGCTTTCAATAGCTGGCGCTAATGCTTCCCAACTGCTGACATCCGTTTCAAAGATGGCGCCATAATTTTTATCAAAATTACATCATATGAGATTTTACTTCGATTGATATATATTTTTTACGTTTTCGCGTTGTAAAAAATTATTTCTTCTTCATTTTTTCTTGTTTTAGGTGACTAATTATATATAATTAGATTGCTTCTTTATTCATCTAGGAATCAATTTCGAGGGTACGTTTGTATATGTAATATACATACGACGTTCAGTAATATATTTTTAACAAATATTACTCTTGTAAGAAAATTTCGATTTTATCGTTTTATTATTTATAGAAGTATTTAGCATACGATTAATTACAGTATTTGTTACATATGTGTGTATTTGATTGGTAACTCTAACTCAACTTTTTTTCTGGTTGTTAAATACATACATCAGGGAATGTACAAGATCTTTTATTTTCAACGAAGTACATATTTCTTGAGATCCATTACAGAAACGTTTCATTGACAATGAAGTTTCGATCGAAAGAAATTGCAAGAAATTGCAAAATTCCATTTAAACCTGACAGAATTTTAGTTTCAATTAGGAAGATGTCGCGTTGGTCGCAAATTTTTTTTTAAATTAATCGACAATTGTTGTTAATGAAATTACACGGACAAATATGAGAAAAATTTTTCCTTTCGTATTAGCAACATTAATTTTCAATTAGTATGACACTACAAGCTAAAAAGAACGTGTACCGACCAAACGGCACGCAATTTGGAATTATAGTGGTGTCCTCTGTCGAAGCTTCTCCATAACTAAGGTTAGATTTCTCTCTTGCGGGTAACAGCGAATTCGTTCGATCGTTGATGCAATCGTTCAATTGTACAATTCGCCCGAAATGAAAAGCGCGGTGGATTAAAACAAGAATAATTTGTGAAAAACGGTGTGAACGAGCGTTGAGGAGGAAGCATATTTTGGTCGGAAGTGCGGTTAGAATCGCGTTCCTCCGACCGCGCATGTCGCCACCTATTGTTGATCTGACAGGCTCTTGTGTAGTTACGGTGAAAGCGATTGGATCTCCTGTACGTTTTGTGAGAAATTAAAAAGCAATCAATTAGTTTCCCTGCCGCATGAATCTCATTAAAACCCAGCCGAGAGGAATGCGTCGAACAACAGATTGTTCCGAGTAGGGTGAAGGAGAATTTCATCGGAGATTTTTCTCTGCTTTCTCGAGTAGAAGCGTTCGAGGCCAGACATGGCGGCTATCCGATGAACCAATTGCAGCAGCGCTCTCTTAAAAGATTAGATATTGTAAATTCCCCTTACACTCGCGTCAGTGAATGATTCTGTACTTATTTTGGCCGTTACTAATAGTAATACAAGTTGTTATAATTACGGGAAGGTGATTGTCGCTCGTCGACAGGGGACTAGAAGCCACGCAAGATCGTACCGAGACGTTGATCATGAAAGAATTGTGTTTGGTCACGTGACCGTAGCCGAAAAATGGCGCAAAGATCAGAGTACAAACATGAGTTCCATTTTATTGCTACGGTGTCATTTGTATTTGTTTACAAACGCGCGTTTTCATAAACCACGTGTTAAGTAAGTGCTATTTCGTTGACAGTGTGTAAGGAACAATGACGGGGAGAGGATCGAAGAGACGGGGCCGACCCCCGAAATCGGTGGTCATGGAAAGGCCCAAGAAGTTTCAATATCATCTTATGAAGAAGCCGAAATACTTACAAAACAAGGGCTCAGAAACACCGAATTCACAGCCAAGCACACCGACACCTTCAAGACCGTCGTCACCAGTCGAGAGCGAAGAGAGCAGACGGAGCACGCGAATTCGAAAATCTCGTGGACCCAGAGACAGACATTCGCGAAAAGGTGGTCATTCGAGTTCCGGTGCGTATCAACGCCGTGGTTACAATCCAAACGTCGACTATCACGATTCTGAATATCATTACGGATCAGACTTCGGGGACGAGTCTAGTGAAAAAAGTGAAGTTGAGGAAGATCTTCTGCAAAGCGATGTGGATTCATCTGAAAGTATAGAAGAGCCTGATCCCTCCAGTGACAGTGACTTTTCTCTCTCCAGTTATAGTAATACCAGCGGCACACCTCGTAAGACATTGCTTAGCCAGCAGAGGCCACCGAGTCCCGAACCATTGTGGCTTCAGAATAGGGAACTGCCACAGTTAAATTTACCTAAATCGTCTGATGATCTATTAGTCCCTAGAGAACTTGTTATGCCATGTTTATCTATTTATGAAGTATTGAGACACTTTCGCACTTTAGTACGCCTTTCAGCCTTTAGATTCGAAGATTTTTGTGCCGCACTCATATGTGAGGATCAAACCAATCTGCTGGCCGAGATACATATTATGCTCATTAAAGCACTTCTTAGAGAGGAAGATTCTCAGCAAACGCACTTTGGTCCTCTGGATCAGAAAGACTCTGTGAATGTTAGCTTATATTTTGTGGATTCAATGACTTGGTCTGAAGCGTTACGCTCTTACGTAGAAAGTGACAAGTCATTCGATCAGAATATTTTACACATTTTATCAACATGCGAATATCCTTTTACTTCTGTCGAAGATAGAATCAAGGTGCTACAATTTTTAACAGATCAATTTTTAATCACAAATCCAGTAAGGGAAGACCTGCTGCACGAAGGTACACTAAATGGTATTTCACATTGTTTTATTTCTTTGCATATTTATTTTTTTTTTTACATAATATAAAAGTATGTAAATTATTATTTAATCAGCAGGAGAAATTTATATGTCCATGCTGAGATCTTAACTGCATTTGTTGTTTTGCAAATTAACAACTAATAGATATTTATTGTCCATATGTATATTGAAATTTATTTTAACCATTTTTTTCGGTTTATTAATTTCTATTAACCCGGGATTACCCACCTGGGAGTCTAGTGCCGAGATGTACCTGCACTAGACTCCCATGTGAGTAATCCCAGGTTAATAATTTGTTATCAGTTAAAAGATATTCTTCCTTACATGTTATAATAACATACATCATAAATTTTGTCATTTTATAGGAAATATGCATTATGATGATCACTGTAGAGTATGTCATCGTCTGGGAGATCTATTATGTTGTGAGACTTGTCCAGCAGTGTTTCATCTAGAATGTGTTGAACCTCCATTGGTAGATGTTCCTACTGAAGATTGGCAATGTAGTACATGCAAAGCTCACAAAGTTACAGGAGTTGCTGATTGTATACCTGATGTTGAAAAGAATGGTTCGTTATGTCGTCAAGAACATTTAGGATTTGATAGATATGGCAGAAAATATTGGTTTCTTGCAAGAAGAATTTTTGTGTAAGCATACTATATAAGTAAATGAAAATTCTCTAGAAAATTTGGAATGTATTAATAAAATTATTTATTGAAATTTATTTAGTGAAAGTGAAGATGGAGAAGTTTGGTATTATAGTACATCTTTACAATTAGAAGAATTAATGCTTTGTTTAGATCGTAATGAAATGGAAGTTGCACTTTATAGAGAATTATCAGATTATAAGGATGAAATTGTAAGGCAAATGGAACTTACAGAACAGATTACTAATCAATACAAGGGTAATAAAAAATCATATCTAGAAGTAGAAAACAGTAAGTTTGGTTGTATTTTTTGATAATTTTATAATTTAAAGGAACAGTATTTAATCAAATACTTTGTGTTTTACAGGTCTTATACAAAAATTACAAAAAGAACGCCAAGAGAAACAAGAGAAGGAAGAAGAAGAGAAGAAAGAAAAACAAAGACAAGAAGCTGAGGAGATGGTACGCAGAATTCATGAAGGTACAGATTCTTTAGAAGAACAATTAGCAGCTGTCACTGAACAACAGGAAACAAAATCGTCTGAAGAGTCAAATGCAAAAGAAAATACTCAAAAACTAAACACGGAAAATATGGAAACAGATAGTGTAGAAACTAATTTAACAGATGGAGTAAATAAAGATGTCAAAACTAGTACGTCATCATCATCATCTGAAGAAATTGATGAAGAAATGCTAGAAGGGGAAGAGGGTATTTCAAAAATTGGTAAAGATGGTAAGTCCTGCAGTTGTAAGAATATTGTAATCGATATAATTCGATGGAGTAACTAATATCTTTTTCATAGGAAAAAAACATACTATTGTAACGAGGTCAAAAACAGGGTCTTTACAACCTAGAACATTTAATATGGATGACTTAAAAAAACGTACTAGTGGACAGTTGTCAAAGGAAGAGTTAGAAAAACTAGACAAAAGTTTAAAAGAGGAAGGGGATGGTACTAGACTAACAAGACAAAAAGCTCATCAAATAGCTTCAGGTACTCATCTTTTTAAGTTGGGAATGGATAATAACTTCAAATCCTACGTGAATCAATATAGTACTAATCCTATTGCTTTGAATAAAGCCCAACGCAATGAAGAACGTGATAAAAAAAGACATTTGTCACATAAATTTTCGCTTACACAGGCTTCAGAATTTAAATGGGTAGGGAGTTTGACAGGAACACGAGCTCTTTTAGTAAGCACACTTCGTCAGACAATTCTTCAACTTGAAAGTAGCATTCAGTCATCATTTATGCATACTAATTGGCCTCTTTTGCGCAAACCTTGGACTACAGCAGTGGGTGCTTGTGTCAATCCTAGAGATTTTGCGCGTGCTCTTATTGTATTGCAAGCGTGTATTAAATCAGTAGTGTTTGCTAGTGTATGGCACGATCAACTCGGACACGTGAAATTACAAAGAGTAACAGCTCTCGAACGAGAGGAGAAGAAACGTCAGGATAAGAAAGATAAAAAGGAGAGAGAAGATGAAGAAGAACGTAATCGTCTGTTTAACTTCGTCAAATATACATTAGGTTTGAAACATCAAGTCTGGAAACAAAAGGGAGAGGAATATCGAGTACACGGACAAGGCGGATGGCTGTGGGTATCTGCTAGTCGCCGCTACAAATGTTCTGATATGTTAAAGTTAGGTCTCCGAATAGGCCCGCAAAAAATAATGGTACAAATTAAAGATCAAGAAGGATTAAAAATATTGGCTTTAGATCCTCCTACGTATGACTTCTTGATAAAGGAATATTGTTCTTCTAAAAAAGAAGAGAATAATACGGACATTAAAATAAAAGAAGAAGACTCATCAATGGATACTTCGGATGGTACATCTATAAAACAAGAGTATAAGAAAGAAGATATAAAAAAAGAACCGATTGAAGATAAACAAAGTAAAATGGAAGTAGATGCGGAAGAGGAAACAGTAATAAAAACCGAATCGCAATCAATTAAACAGGAAACAAAAATGAATTTATCATGTAAGTATAGTAAAAAAAAATTTAGTCATTATTAAATATATACATTAAGCATATATAATGTTAAATGTTTCTTTACCTTCAGTTTTAGCTGGTATGAAAATCGAAAAAGTTTATACACCTATCAAAGAATTTGAAGAAATCGATATTACTAAGGCACTAACGACTAATGGGAGGCTTCATTATCCAAAAATTGCTAAGAAGACTAGAATTGACGATTTTTTGGCACGTAGAACACATTTGAAGCTTTTAGAAGAAAGAAGATTATTACAGAGCGTAAGTAATCATTCGTAAAGATAAGTGGAATGTATGTAGTAAAATATCGTTTAATATATTCGTTAAAATACAATTTTAGGAGAAATCGAAAGAATTAAATCAATCGACAAATCAAAAAGCAGATGGAGATTCCGAAATTGATATAGAAAATAACGAAGAAAGTGATACAGATGGAGCAGACAATTCTTTACATAGCATCCTTACTGGAAAACAACCTAAAACTATATCTACATCAGCTAGAGAAATGCTGACTGTAATAGGAAAGCGTATTCAACACGTTAAAGCTCAATATGCCCAAATAATGAGATTTAGTAAAAATGGTAGTTGTTATTCGCGGTATTGTAATATGACTGCACCTCCAGGGAAGATTACAACAACAACACAAAGTTTAACATCTACTTGCTACTCTCCCATATGCCTTCAAAAAGCAAGACTAAAACTCGATCTTATTGCGTTGTTAAGAAAGGCTAATGCTTTAAATAATAATCAGTCAGCATCAAACTTATCAGTTGGTGGAGCAGTGCAAGTTCAAACAAGTTCAAAGGCAGATGGGAGTGATGAAGCTAGAGATGCAATTAGGAAGGATTTAGAATCTGCGGTAGCATCTGCAACTCATTGTACGGAAGAAACACCAGCTACGAATGTAGTAAAAGACATTGCAACACCGCCTGTTAAAAAAATAAAAATTGAACTTAATGCTGGTGACACCAATTCAGGAAACGTAGTAACCACCACAACTAATAACGTAGTTACTACCACAACAGTAACTACAACGCAACAGACTATAAAAACAGTTGACGGTGTTGTACAAAGTATGCAAGAACGTACAAGTTCTCAAAATTCAGTTACGTTTTCATCCGAAGTTAAAACAAGGT